TTTTTTTTTCTCTGGTAATTATTATTTTATAAAAATTGAAAAATACCTCAAAATTCAAGTATATGGTAACCATATTTATATGGAAGTTTGTGGAGTGCCTAACACCTTCCCCTACACTTAACCAATCCTTCGAACTTAGTTAATTTCTACAAATACTTTAATGATCTATCTCATCTCATTTGGATAGATGAAGACTTCATCTATTTTGGTACGACAACACATAGAATATAAAAATTGTATAAGTTACATTAATATGATTAATTAGTTAAAGAATAGCATTTTACATGTGAAGAGGAGTTGGTGAGGAATTTAAACTCCCCGGCGGGGGGCCAGCGACCTTTGGAAGGCAATCCTAAAGGAAAAAAACCACCACTTTTTTCCCTTACATGGCATGCACTAGGAGAAAAATAAATATCCATGAAACTTATTAGTGGCCTTTCAAATAATGGATTTGGGGGGCATTCAGACAGCAGCAGAAGAAATGATGGATGATTTGGGGAGTCAGCAAATGTTTTTAATGGGATGGGAGGGGAGGGGAGGGGAGGAGAGGGGTGGTCTAACTAATTGCATGTATTGGACACTAAAAACTATGAAATTGACACTAAAAAAAAAACCTATGAAATTGGCAAGAATTTTTGGGAAAGTGATGATGAAAGTGATGTTAGAGGACCCCGGAGGGGTAGGTTTTACAAAATCTCTCCATCATTCAAAAGGTAACTTTTTTGGCAGCTATTCTCTCCAATTAAAAAAAAAAACCCAAAATCTTTTGACTTCAAGCCCGCTTCGACAAATCTAATTATATTATTTCATGATTTAAATTTACTGTAACTGCGAGTCCCCTCAATAAATATCCACTTTTGGCCTTCTGAAGTCAACAAACAAAAAGATGATGGATTCAAAAATGTGACCTTTTTGGCAGCTATTTCTCTCCAATAAAAAAAACCAAATCTTTTTGACCTCAAGTCCACTTCGACAAAATTCTAATTATATTATTTCATGATTTAATTTACTTTTAACTGCGAGTCCCCTCAATAAATATCCACTTTGGCCTTCTGAACTCAACAAACAAAAGATGATGGATGATTCAGACATCGAAGCAGCAGCAACATTGCTCGAAATGCAAGCAGCAGCAACACCACTCAATATTGACGGATTTCAAATTCTGCTAGAAGCTCGTCAACCAAATGCAGCCAACGCCCCTCCAAATAACTTAAGAGCTGCAAGGGCAACCGTCCACGGACCTCCAGGAGTCCCTGATAACTTGCAAGAATTAGCATGGGGTGCAAGAAGACGTCGTTCTGCAAGACCACAGCATCAATCAGTGGCATTGGTTGAGTGGGGTGCAAGAAGAGCACGTTCAGCAAGAGGCAGGTTGCAAGATTAATCTATTTCAATTAGAGAAAAATGTTTTTTGGTTATACCTATGTTTGTTACTGTGGCATAACTAATGTAGATCTTGCGTTATGCAAGTTGCTTATGTAAAATAAACACAAATTGGCACAGCAAATCAGCCCCTATACCGTTCAGCAAGAGGCAGGTTGCAAGATTAATCT